CAGGGAAATATAGCCACCATTCCTGGCATCTCTCCAATGCATTGGCAGCATACCTGCAAGGGCAGATTTGCTAACAGGGCAGACTGGCAACCAGCAGTGTATGGGGTCAGGGGTCAGGAAACCAGCCTATAGCATGGATCAGGCTGCCTACCAGAAGTGCTCCCTTCCTCTCTCAGCACCCATTCACCTGGTGCCCATTGACAAGCCGTCACTGTGCATGCCTTACCTTTCATTGACAACTGGCGCAGTCACAGCATGAGGCAGGTGACCGTGCTGGGCAGCAGTCCTCAATCAAGGGTGTGTACATTTTGTTACACATGAGTTTGCCATGCCAACCTAGCACCTGTACCATGTGGCCTCAGTGTTCATACCAACCACACAGCAGCAAGCCGTTGGATATGTCTGAAAGTCTACGGGGAGTGTCTGCAGTGAAGTCCAGTCAGGGGCGCAGCACAGTTAGTCAAAAGCAGACCCAGGCTTCAGCCATGGTAAAACCTCCAGTCGGGGTGGCTTTGCACAGATGAACCATGTCTCTGTGCTCCAGTTGGTGGATCATGGTCAGCACTTTGTCTCCATAGGAGCTGGCCTAAGCTGGAGCAGGCAGGTCATGCACTCAGTGGGATGGGCCACTGTCATCTTGTCATCTCTTGCCACAGAAATTAAGGTGGAGGGGGCCTTTAAGGATTGTTTAGGGGGTGGTGTTGGGTAGGTCAGCAGGGGTAGGGACATGAACAAAGCTTGGGTGATGCCCTGGGGAAATACAAATCCTGTGGTGTGGATGAAATGGGCACTGAGAAAGGCCAGGGTGGCATTTGGTGATTCAGTGGCACGTTCACACTGAGGTCGAAAGCCACTGGCAAAGGACTCCTTGAGATTATTCCCATTGTGATGCACATAGTTTGTGTTCAGCGTTGAGGAGAACGGTCAGATACACACTCAGAATGGGTGGACTAAGTGAACCAATGTGCGTGGGAGGGAGCTGTATCTGCAACCGGTCACTGGGTATTCACAGAGGAACAAGATTGTTTGTGAAGATGTGATATGGCCCTGGCAGAGAAGGGAGAAGGTGATTGGCCATCTTTCAGCATGCAGGGTTCTCTACATGGTGGAGATGGAACTGACCGCGTGATGATCTCCAACTAGGCTGGCATCATCTGATAGTGTAGCCTCCTGTCAGAGTCCTCCAGAAATAGAACACGTCTCCACTTCACTACCCCATTGACCAGGACTTCCAGGGGTCTCTCAGAGAAGCACAGTGGCAGTCTCGTATCTCTCCTCACTGATCAGGACAGCAGCCAAATGCTAGTGCTCCTCCAGGTGAGCAACAACAGGCATTCAAAGTTGGCATGGCTGCAGGTGATCGGGCAGGATACGTGCCGTAGCTGTGGGAAAGCCAGTTAACACAGTGAGCTTGGCCAAATATGGTGAGAAAAACTGCTCAACCTCACAGTGAGACAACTTGTTCGGCCCTCAAGGGGAGAAGCCTCCCACCAACTCGCACATAGCCAAAAGGATTTATGATTCAATAACATAAGTCTTTGTGAGATAGGCTGACTGTGTGACATGTAATTTACTGTCTACATATTATGAATGGTAGCTGTGTTTACACCACATAATCAGGCATAAGTTTGAGTTGCTGTTTGTAATACCTTTAGGAGAAAACAGAAACTTCTGAAAATACAGAGAAGGTCAAGTCAGTCCTCATCTCAGAATCCAAAATGTTGGGATGTTCGCTATCCCTTCAGTGAAGCTGTTGATTTAAAATTGGTTCATGCAATGTTTGTCTCCTTTCGACTTGCCTTTTTTAAAACTGAGTGTTATAGTGCCCCATGGTGGCTGAAGATGTAATTTCATTAGAAACAGACCACTCGACCAAATCAAGTCTATTTTCTAATCGTGCCTCCTCCGTCTTTTCTCATGCCATTCTCTCAGCATAACCCTCAACTCCCTTCTCCCTTGTATGCTTATTAGCTTTCTGCAGATCTATACTACTTGCATCAACCACTCCCTTAGTCAGGTCCACATTCTCATCATTGTCTGTGTAAACATGGTTCATCTGAATTCCCAATGACCTTCTCGTTGACCATCGTGCAGAGTAAAGGAGATTATACCTTTACTGTGAGTGTAAGTGCTGCGCATTTGCTAAAGGAGCTATATTATAGTGATATCAGATCACATGGAACTGTAGCTTGAGATTACAGGGCTTCAGGTAAGATGTCCTCTCTTACCAACTTCTGTAAATAACTATGTTCAATAAAGTCTGTTGCTGTTCACTCCCTCAGGTTTAGACTTCACATTACCATATTATATATAGTATACATTGAAACTCTGTAAAGATTCTGAGGGGTCTGGACAGGGTGGATACAAGGAGCATATTTCCTCTTTTTGGGGAGCCTAAAACCAGAGAGCATGGTCCAAAAATAATAGAACTCCCTTTTAAGACTGAAATGATTTCTCTGGGTGGATTTCTCATTCCCAGAAGATACTGGAGGCTGGGTCGTTAAATTTATTCATGGATGGGTTAGCTAGAAGTTTGGTGAGAAAGGAGTCAAATGTTATGTGAGACAGGCATGAAAATGGAGATGACACCACAACCAGATCAGCCATGATTAAATTGAATGGTGGGTTAGGCTTGAAGTATCAAATGGTTTACTCGGGCTGTTAGGTCCTATGTCCCTATGTCCTACATAGTGATTATTTATAACCTTTTTCTCCTTCTCAAAAAATGCAAAAATACAGTCTACTTTGTTAAAATCATTCATAATCTTAAAAATTTCCATTATATGATCTTTTGGCTTCCTCTTTTTAATGGAAAAGATACCAAGCCTACTCATCCTTTCCTGATGGAAATAGTCTTGTAGTTCTGGAATCATTAAGTCACTTTTACATTGTCCCCAATGACTGCATATTCTTTTCTAAAATTGCAACAAGACTGCATTCAGTATTGTAGTCTAACAAATTTTACTTTTCAATTTTATCTCACAAAAAGTAAATTCAACTGAATGCATTTTATTGTTGTGGCTTTATTGACCTATGTCACAGTTTTCAGTGATCTATGTATTTGCACTTCCAAATCCTTTGGCTCCTCTGTCTTATTTATATTCTTATATTCCAAAGAAAATGTGAGCTCCTTATTTTTCTTGCCAAACTGTGACAGCTGACAACTGCTGATACAGTTTCTCAGGGTCATTGGATGCTGAATAGGATGGAGCATCAAGAAACATGAAAAGAAAAGGAAATGCTAAAGGAAAAGTTCTGATTCAAAGACAGATACAATGGGAGGTGGCTTTTTGACCCTTGATGATGGGTTTTTCCATTGCTTCAGAAGATGAGTATTCTTCAAGGAGACCAATTGCTCACCAACAAAGTAAATGTCCTTTCATTTGTGATATAAGCCAAATCTTGATTTGCAGATCCAATTGCAAAATATTACATTAAAAAAACAATTAAACAATTAGATGAAGGCTCTGGCTTTATGGAGCACTCATTTGTCCTGTAATGATATGACTGGTAACCCTTCAAATGCTGAGTGGTTAATAACAAAGACTTTTCCATTTGAATCTGTTTTGGATTGTGTTTTTTTTAAACCCCATGTAGTGGGTTCGAACCTACAGCAAAAGGGCTTTCATAATGTCTTTGCAAATGTTTGGATGTCTTATGGCGCAGTTAAATACAAATAGGAATACACCATGCAAACTGTATGGTCCGCTCATCGAAGCTGAGTTCAGATGAGCATACCTCTGATATGCAGTATTTTGCATGAACTTCAATGTTCAGGACTTTGACATTTGATGCAGCAGATAGATCTTAAGACATCAAAGGTAGAATATATCTAGTTTTTTTTCTGCTGAATGCAGAGCTTGCTGTTGCAATGCAATGGGCAACTTCATCATTCAACATGGTGTTTTTACAGAAGATGCTTCTAAGATATCCTGAATATTAAATACTCACAGGAGAATTACTCAGAAATTTAAATGCCCTGTCAAGTTCAGGCATAACATAGCAGACCAAAAGTCTTCATATGGTTCAAATAATAAACAACATAAGCTAACATGCGCAATGTCATCGGATAGAAATTTCAATTATAGCATGGAAGATTGCAAACCAGTAAAGCTGACTAAAAAGATATGACATCTAGTTAGCTTCAGGGTCTTGACATACTTGGGAATCTTAATCAAAGTTACAGGAACTGGTGGTGAAAGGGTTAACACTTATGTTGAAATTTTTAAAATTTGTGTCTTGTTCTCATAATTGAATAATTGCTTCATACCTAGAAGTAATAGGATTTGCAAAAATTCGTAATCAGCTAATTTCTATAAAAATAGCAAACAAAAATGCAATGATATTTTGTGCTAATTGTTGCTTAACTGGGTCAGCTGGAACTTCAAACTGTCTATGCAAATATTAGGACCACCCAAATGGTTTATAAGGTGAAACATCAGAAATTTTTTTGCTGATTGGACCCAAGGATTCTAAGGGAAGTATCAGTCTGACTGCTAGTTTCAAATCTTGCAGCTAATGTGTGCAACGTAAGTTGGATGTTTACCATTAAACATGTATTATTGAGTTAAAATTAATTTTGTTCATTATTTGACCCTTAAGTCCTTAATGTGACTGACCTTAGGCTCTTTTAGTTGTGTTTTCACCTTGCGTACAGTTAAACGAGGTAGGAATCTTATTCCAATCTATAAATGACAAGACATGCAAAGCAAATCAAGTCTTTTAGTGTTTCATATATATCAACATCTTTCTTAAATTTATAAGATTTTCTTTTAATTTCATTGGATCTTGATATAACATGGATAAATGTTTGACTCACAGTAATCAATAAAATTGCCTATGATTTACTAACATTTTGCTCTTGGTACAATGGAACCAAGTATCAAAACATTACATCTGTATTTCCATATTTACCTTATTTAATCTGAACTAAATTACGAACATCATGTCTGAACTACCAGCCTTGTTCTTAATTTACTGGTTGCTTCTTTTCTTTCAGAATGGCACCCCTGTGGTTCCTGGGAGTGTTTCTCATTGACACTTTCCTGTCTCAGACTCAAGGAGTTAAAGAAGGTAAGTGGCTAAACCCAGCTAATCTATTCCAACTCAGGTAAACTCACAGTGTATGAGGAGCTGAATCTGACTCCTCTGATATGGACTGCTAGATCTCAGAATAGATCTCAGGCTGATTATCCCAAAATCCATCTCCCTTTGAGAGAGGCACAATAAGGTGATGGGAGAATTAAAAAGAATCCTTCAGCAATATATATGAAATTAGATGCCAGAATGAAAACAAAACATGCCTTTAAAATGAATAAAGCTTGAGTACAAACACCAAGTCATTCAGGACGTGGAAATGTTGATACACAAAGCTTCGAAACCACTTTTGTTGAATGAAGACATTTGATAAATTCAAAATTTAGTCAAACTGAGTTAATCCATGCTTTGGATAGTAACTTTAATCTGTGAAGAAAATCATCACAGTCTCGATCTGGAGAATACTATTACAACACTGAGTTTTAAAAACAAACTAAACCACTGAATCTGATTTTACTTGATGGAATGTTGAACTGAAGATTGCAATTGTGTTGAGTATGAAATATGAATCTCTGAAGTCTTTGACTTAACAGCAGAGATAACCTAAAGAAAACATTTACTAAAGTTCCATGTTGGAGGTTTTTGAGAATTAATGACAAATGAATTGAGTTGAAAATTAGCAATGAGAAGGAAAGTATTTCTGGCTTCTGACACAATGTAAAGGACTGCGAAGACTGTAAGGGATCGCAAACGGTTTAATCCTGCCAATTTGTACATTACGCCAAATTGCTGAAACTGTTCAGACTGATTTAAGCAGCTACCTTCCCTCTACTTCCAACCCACTCTTCAAATATGTATACCAAAAGTCTATAACCTAAGATTTATAGTCTTTACAAATTGAGGTACCGATTCTAAATCCAGGGATCAATAGGGTAAATGTAAATCAAAAATCAACACAAGATAAAGAAAATGTTTTTATGAAGTAATAAGTTGAGATAATCACACTGTGGGTGTAAAATTTAATACCTCCCCATGTGATAGATTAGGTGCATGGAGAGTATAGTTGACAAGAGGGTGATGAGTGAGCTCCTGAGCGCTAGCATCAAACTAAATAGAATTGGTGAAAATGAGTGTAACTGATCTATAAACCACTCCCTGCAGCAGTGCTCCTCTGGAACCTGTTAAGGAATATCTCAATTTGCAATTTATGTAGCAAGTGCAATTTGTGGAAATTGTAAGTTGTAAACCATTGTAATTACATTTTTAAAAGTGACAATTGCAGAACTTTCCTTGAAGTGGAAATATTTACAGCTATCAGCATGTTTTTATTTTGTAACTATTCATTACAATGCTGTGTTGATTTGTTGCTTGCTGTTTTACCATTGTGAGATTATCCTAGATTCCCTACAGTGTGGAAACAGGCCTTTTGGCCCAACAAGTCCACACCAACCCTCAGAGCATCCCACCCAGAAACCCATCCCCCTATCACTCATTCCTGAACACTATGGGCAATTTCACATGGCCAGTCCACCTAACCTGCACATCTTTGGACTGTGGGAGGAAACCAGAGCACCCGGAGGAAACTCCACACAGACAGTCGCCTGAAGCTGGAATTGAACCCAGGTCCCTGGTGCTGTGAGGCAGCAGTGCTAACCACTGAGCCACCATGCTGGCCTAATTATGGTTTGACATACTTAATTTCAGTATTTCAATGAAAAGAGAATGTCTAAAAGTGCTATGCATGAATTCTGTGTCATGCTTCAAAGAAATGGACCTGTCACTTGGTCAAAAAACAATCTTTTCTGAATCCCAGTTAACACTGCAGGCAGGATACTCAGTTCCGGATTGGTTTATTCAGCTTTTCCAGGTGACATATGCTCAAAATTGAACCAATATCAATGAAGCAATGCTCCAATTCCTATCATAGCTGAGAAAAATAGCTTATGGACACTGTTGGAGTTTACACAAACATTTGAACAAATTGTAAGTTTGCTACTGTGAAGGCACTCAACAAATACAAAGTAATAATAACTGTTTAAATTGGAGCTACATCGGCAGCATATCGGATCAGATGCTGTCACAGCTCTGTCGAGTTATCCTGGTCCTCTATTGCATTTCTGAGCCTTCACCTAATAATAGTTTATTGCTTCAAATCTTGCTAATTGATACGTTTATCACAATGTAGCACTTGCATCAAACGAAACAGAAAGCAGTCACTCTTGCAAGTCTCTGCCACACTTACAACGTACTGCAGCCAACATGTTTTGATTCAATTGACAAAATTAGTGATTGGCATATCAATTCACTTCTCAATTTTCTCAGGGTGTGACCTGTTTGGCTCAGAACTGCTTTGTTATTGTTATAGATGTTGCCCTGGGCAGTCCATTTGTGGAAAGAGCTGTACATGAAGCCATGGAACTTGTGGACCAGGCCTATAAAGTGACCAGAGACCAGTAAGTAACTATTTCATAACCACTTCTATGAGATGTCTAACTTTTAATATGAATCTTCTCATAGTATATTCAATTCTGGGGATCTGAAAGTCTTGACGCAACAGTGATCAAACATACATCTTTTGTGTTAAGGCTATAAATTTGGATTTGGAAATTGATTGTGATCATAGAAGAACATTCCCCCTTGGTGTGATGTAGCACAGAAAAAATGTTCGATATCAGAAAGTTAAGAGAAAAAGCTAAGGAAGAATTTTTTTTTGTAAATTAAATTTATAAGAGGCTTGAGTGAAATTTTAAACATGAATGTGAAACATGTGACCATGAGGTATATTTTTGATCAAATATACTATTTGCATTTGTATGGTTTTAGGAGTATCAAAAGTAGTTTACAACAAACAATTGCTTTTAACTTTCAAATGCTACTGCTGCTACATAGGGAAATGTTGAAATCAACTTGTGCATAGCATGACCTCTCAAACTGTAGCATGAACACATATGAAATAGGAGCAGGAGTGGACAATTCAGGCGCTAGAACATGCTCCATCATTCAGTTGGATCATGACTGATCTGATTGTAGCCTTAACTCCACTTTCCTGCCTGTCCTTCATAACCTTTGACTCCTTTGTCAATTAAAAATCTATCCAATCAGTTATTAATATATTCAATGACCCAGTCCGCACTGCTCACAGGGGAAGAAAGTTCCTAGGACCTTGGAGAAAAGAAATTTCTCTTGATCTACATCTTAATTTTTTAAACTATGCCCCTAATCCTAGATTTGTCCACGAGAGGAACCATTATGTCAGAATCTACCTTGTCCAGCCCTCTCAGAATCCTATACATTTCAATAAGATTACCTTTCATTCTTCTAAAAGTGAACGTGTATAGGCATGACTTGCTCAACCTCTATTCTTAAGAGAAACCCTTCATCCGACAATTCAATCTAACAAACCTTCTCTGAACTCGTTCTAATGCAAGTGTATCTCTCCAAAGGCAAGGTAATCAAAACTACACACAGCAATCAAAGTGTGCACTCACCAATGCCATGTACAATTGTAGCAAGATTAACCCACTTATATACTCAATTCCTTTTGCAATAAAGGCCAACATTCTGTTTGCTTTCATGATGACTTCCTATACTTTTTTTGATTCATGTACAAGGACATTGGGATACTGCCAACCTTTATCAGTTTGCAGTCCCCCTCCGTTTAAATTATATTTTGCTTTACTACCCTTTCTGCTGGAATGGACAGCTGTTGCGTTTTCCCCCATAATACTCATATCTGCCCAGTCACTTAACCTATTTATATCCCTTTGAAGACTCTTCGTACCCTCCTCACAAATTTATTTCCTACCTATCTACATGTCATCAATAAATTTGGCTACAATGCTGATTGCCCTTGCACCCAAGTCATTATTCATAAATAGTTCATGCCTCAGTACTCTGCTAATTAGAGTTTGCCATCTTTTAAGTAACCCATTTTTCCTAACTCGGTTTCTGTTAGTGAGCCAGTCTTCTATCCGTACTAATATATATCTTTAACACAATAAGGTCTTATTTCGTATGATTACCTTAACAAGCCACCCTATCACATATCTTTTGGATATCTAAATACTCTACATCATGGGTTCCTCCTAATCTATTTTATATTTTACATCCTCAAAAATGTCTAAAATATTTGTCAAACAAGATTTCCATTTTACAAATCTAAGTTTGATTGAATTAAGATTTTCTAAACAATCTGCTACTACCTCTCAATAATGAATTTGAGCATTTACCCAATGACAAATGATAGAATAACTGAACACAGTTTTCTGTTTTAGCTCCTTTCTCGAATAAAATTGTTACATTACCAGGGTATCTAATCTGCTGGCACCTTTTCAGGTTCTAGGGAACTTTGAAAGATTTCAATAGGACAACTACTTCTTGTAAGACTCTGGGATGCAGGCCATCAGATCCGGGGGCCTTGTAGATAGTGAGGAGGGAGGAGGTAAATGGGCGGGTGTTATATCTTCGCAGGTTGCAGGGGAAGGTGCCATGGAGCTGTGGGGGTGTGTTAGGGGTAAAGGAAGAGTGGTCCAGGTTGTCCTGGAGGGAACGGTCCCTGCGGTAGGTGGACAAGGGGGGGGAGGGGAGGGGATTGTATGTCTGGTGGTGGCAGCTTGCTGGAGATGGCGGAAATGGTGTCTGATGATCTTCTGGATGTGGATGCTGGTGGGATGGTAGGTAAGGACAAAGGGACCCTATCACTGTTCCGGGAGGGAAGAGAGTGGGTGAGGGCGGAAGTGCAGGAGATGGGTCGGGCCTGGTTAAGGGACCTGTCGATGACAGTGCTGGGGAATCCTTGGTTGAGGATGAAGGTGGACATTTTGAAGGCTCTGTTGTCGAAGTTGACCTCATCGGAACATATGCAATGGAAACAAAGGAACTGGGAGAATGGGATCCCTCTATAACCCACCTAATCTGCACATCCCTGAATACACACTATGGGCAATTTAGCATGGCCAATCCACCTAACCTGCACATCTTTGGACTGTGGGAGGAAACCGGAGCACCCGGAGGAAACCTACGCAGACACGGGGAGAATGTGCAAACTCCGCACAGACAGTGACCCGAAGGTAGAATTGAACCCAGGTCCCTGGTGCTGTGAGGCAGCAGTACTAACCACTGTGCCACTGTGCTGCCCCCTCTGGGGGCTGGGTGATTGCTTTGCAGAACATCTATGTTCTGCCCCCAAAAATGTCTCTGACCTTCCAGTTGCCTGCCACTTTAACACACCACTCTGTTCCCTGGTCAGCATCTCTGTCTCAGGTTTGCTGCAGTGTCCTAGCAAAGCTCAGCACAACTGGAAGAACAACACCTCATCTTCCGTTTGGAGACCCTGCAGCCTTCCAAACTCAGTATCAGGTTCAATAGATTTAGGACCTGAACTCTCCCATGTCCTAGCCCCCTAACCCACACACAAGGCCTTCTTATCACATAACATGCTATTACACACCACCTATTGTTAGTCACTAACAGTCCACATTAACAGCAATTCTCTCTCCGAGCCAGATTGCTATCTACTCCTTTGTCTGTCCAACAGTTCTTTTCTCTCTGGGCTCTATCCCCTCTCATCGTTTATCCCTTACTGCCTCCTCCCACCCTATCTTCTGCATATGAACTGATATTTTCCTAGCTACCATCAGTATGAGGAAGGGTCACCGGATCCGAAACATTAACTCTGATTTCTCTCCACAGATGCTGCCAGACCTGCTGAACTTTCCCAGCAACTTCTGTTTTTGTTTCTGCTTTACAGCATCTGCAGTTACTTTTGGTTTTTACTTTGTTAAATCATCAGTGTTGGGAAACTGTAATCCAAAGTTAATGAAACCAGTATTCTTAAGTAACAAACTGTTATTTAACTCAGAGATAGTAGGAACTGCAGATGCTGGAGAATCCGAGACAACAAGGTGCAGGGCTGGATGAACACAGCAGGCCAAGCAGCATCATAGGAGCAGAGAGGCTGACGTTTCGGGCCTAGACCCTTCATCAGAAAAGGGGGAGGGGAAGGGGGTTTTGAAATAAATAGGGAGAGAGTGGGAGGCGGATAGAAG